TGAAAGCAACATTAATATTACATTTAAAGCTTCATTTTCAAAGCACTAGAGAAAGGAATCCTTCTGTCTTTTGTTTGGTGGAAAACAGAATAAATTCATATTAACGTGTTGTTTTAACATGTTATTTCCAAGCTCTTGATTCAGTCACCTCTGAACTGCCCCACATCTGCCACTGGCAATATAAACTAAACAATCAAGTTTTCTTCTCTTTCCAGCCTGCACAATTGCTACCATATGCTTGGTAGCACCAATGTATGAGAAATCAAACTAAGGCAGTTTTCCCTCACACATAAGAGATCAAAATGGAAATACTCTGCATTCAGTTGCCTTGATTTCATGGCTTTTCCTCTCTCACAGTTCCACAAACCTGCAGCAGACAAACCACCCCAACACGTGATACAATAAAATTAGAAGGAGGAAATGAATAAGGGAGGAGAAAAACAACAGCAATTGCTTTATGAAGGTTTTGCCCCAGGACAGGTATAGCTGTGTGAGACTGGAAGAGGGAAGTGGGAAAATAATCATAGATGGGAAAAATTGATCAACTGACAGTTCTTTTTTAATGAATAGTATAAAGTGAGCATGATTGTCTGAAATGCAGCTGACTGATGCCAGGACACCAGAAGCCAAGGTCATCTGCCTCCAGTCCTCTGTCCCATATGTTTTTAAATGCAACACATCTGAAATACAATTGAAGTGACAAGAGTGTTGATGTGCAGAGACAACCTAAATATTTTGCTGTCTGAGGAAGAGGAGTGAACAATGCTCTGGTTACCACAACATATCACACTGAGATGCATCCAAGGCCAGTCATGTTATTTTAGCACCCAGAAAGGGGGGGGGAATGTTCCCCTACTTTTCCTGGCATAAAAAAAACACCATCAAATTAAAACAATTTGAGGCCCTTTCAGGCAATCTAAAACTACAGGCCTGAGGCAACCAAGCCCGATACAGGTTTAACAGTAGGAGAACCAGGCAGAAGGGCATGGCACTCTCAAGCCATAGCTGACATGTGATGCCTTTCTATTAGCATCCAAACTGGTGGTTATGGAAAGAGATAAAGTCTCACTCTTTCTCTGTAGGTCAAGGCCAAACCAAGACATTTTGCTACTGCAGGAAAAGATGCTGCTCTCACCCTCCAGGTATAGAAACTAAAGAGACTAGCAGTTGAATGGAACTGCTCCACTTGAAGGAACCATGTCTCCACTTATGGGGGAGAGGATTGGCTTGGGGGGATGCAGAGCTTGACACACACACCCCCAACAACTTGGGCTGCTGATATTCACAGACCCTGCCTATGTGCTTCTAAACAGCAAGCAAGGATTTAGTAGGCAGAGCTCCTCCTGCCATAGAGATGAAGTAGGGGTGGTAGAAAAGGAAGGGGGGGGACGCACACAAAAGCCTTATGGAGCACAGCTCCTAAGGTAAGTCTTTCTATCATTATCTGAAAATAATGGGTTTTTTTCCTAGCTGAGACTCTAAGCTAGACATTAGGAATTGTTATATTGTTTCAAGGAGAAAAGTGTCATTTCTACCGTTTGTTTTTTGTTTTTTTTTTTGGCAAGGGGGAGGAGTAAACTCGGCATTGGCCTGATCACTTCCATCCATGAAATTAGAGAACTGGAGAGGTTAAGAATCTGCATCTATAGTGCATAACCCTAAAGCGCACATATTTGACAAATCTGGGAGCCAATCGGGACTCCAGAGACATTCTAGGGGCCACACAATCTGCCAAAGAGGAAAAAGAAAAGAACAGAAACAGGGGAAGAGACAGAAAACCCCTTCCCAAGTGAGAAAAATGTATTTATTTATTTATTAGATTTCTATCCTGCCCATCTAGACCAAAGGCCTACTCTGGGCGGTAAAAGTTGATATTTGAGAGTGTTAAGCCTACAGAAAGGGGGGGGGGTGTCAGTGAGTATTTAAAAGGCAAACCTCTAATGCTTCCAGAAGCTGTAATTCGTCTTTAAAAAAAAATTAAGAGAAGGAGAAGACAGGGGAGGTCTGGCCAGGGAGGGGCTGCAAAAAGATCCCCAAGGCCACATTTTACCCACCTTTGGTTTAAATTAGCCAGCACATACATATAAACAATACCCCCTCCTCCCAAATGATACTGGAGGCTTCCCCCCCCCTTCCTGATCTGAAAGAGACAAGCCTCTGGGATTAAGGCCAGATCTGAACTACATACACTGTATTTCAGAGGTGCATATCTCATAAACTACCATGGTTTCCAAGCAATCAAGGGCTGGGGAGGAATGGCAGCTAGACTGGTGTCACAGCTATCTAAACACTGCAGGTATGCTCTTGGTCTTGAAAGCTCTGGATTAACAAGCTTTAGATACTGATTCTGATGGATTGGCCAACGATATACTCCTCCTTGCCTTGGGGCACACCTTCACTCCAAGGCACACCTCTGGGACTTATTATTATCCTACTGTATTAGGTGAGCCCTCCCCAACCCTGTGCTCTCTAGACCTGCTGAACGACAATTCCAGTCAGCCCCAATCAACATGGTGGCTGGGGAGTTCAGCACAAAGACTAGCAGGTTTGAAAGGCAGTCTTACACATTTGAAGGTCAATGGGACTCAAGCTTTTCTAAAATTCATACTGTCTCAGGTAGAATTTTGTTCCACAACACCCAGAATACATGTGTGTGTTTCTTCAAATTCGTCAAATTGCTTCTGATTTATGGCAACGCCATGGATTATTGACTTTCAAAAGGTCCTACCACTAATAGGCTCCTACAGACTAATGGCTTTGACTTCCTTTAATGGATCAATCTCTCTCATGTTAGGCCTTCCTCTTTGCCTACTGTCTTTCACCTGTTCCTAAAACTGCCTTTTCCAGAAAGTCTTGTGTTCTTGTAATACATCTTACGTATAGAAGCCTCGGTTTAGGCATGTTAGTTTTTAGTAAGATGCAAATTTGATTCACTTTCAAACACATTTACTTGTCTTTTTGGCAGTTTTGGTAAAACTCTCTTTCAATCACACATTTCTGATCAATCAAATTTTCCCCTGTCAGGTTTCTCTGTTACTACTTTAAGAATCGGTGTGCCTATTTTTAGAAAAAGAGATTTATTTATTTATTTACTTACTTATTATTACTACTAGTAATAGCACTCTGCAGTGGTAGTACAACTGGGAGAAGCATACCCAGTTCAGCAGCAATATGGCAGGAAGGCTGGTAGGCTTTTACTTTCATGGTCTGCTGACAGATTTTTCCAGAAACCTCTGGCCGGCTCCCCCTACAAGAAGCTGGACGCTGAACCAGACAAACAGTCCAGGGGCTTTGTGCTCATGTTCATTTTTGAGATGCTCAGAGATACCCTCACTATGATTTCACGCATACCTGGGTTGAGTCTCAGTTTCAAATACAGAAGGGTGAAAAGGAATGGAATTTTGTCTGGAACCATTTGGGTCGTCTTATTGTTTTCTATAGGGTAGTAAATTTCTTTTCAACCTCTCCAATCAATGGCATGCTTGGAAAAGTAAAGAAAAATAGATCCTTGAGGCTTGAGCTCCAGCTTATGTCAAGCTCTGCAGGAGGCTGGCCTTTCCCTTTGGTTTGCCAGTCGGGCCTTGGCTGATGGGCCAACACACCAGCAGAAAAGCTTCTGTCTCCCTCTCTTCTTGGGGGCTTCCCCCCCCCCCTTAATCAGAGAGAAAACAAAAGGTTTGTTCCCCCTTAATCAGAGAGAAAACAAAAGGCCAGAAAGGAAAAGGTGGGAGCATCTCCAGGGTGGCTCTCCTGCCTTGTCAGCTGGGGAAGGTATCCATTCGGTCCAGCCTTCCCAGCCGGATGCCCTCTGGACCTAAGGACAACAACACCAACCACACCCAGGACAGTTTGTGGGGGAGTGTGATGGGAGTTGTAGTCCTTCAATTGCGCTGCCCTCCTTGAGAAGTAGCAGCAGGCTTGCCAGGAGTGAACTAGCCCTTGGGCTTTGGCAGGAAGGCGGGGGGGCGCTTCGACTGGGGCGGCAGCAGGCAGGGTATGTCCTCGCTCACTCTCTCGCTCTCTCTCCTTTGCTCCGCTTCCTCCTTTATGTGCGCAAACACTCTCTGGCTCGCTCTCCTGTGCTCCGCTTCCCCCTTTATGTGCGCAAACCCGTTCCCTCGCCGGCTCAGGGGTCCAGGAAAACCGCCTCACTCCCACCCGGGCTCGCCTGGACACTGCGGGGGGGAAGCAGAAGGCGAGAGAAGCGATCGGAAAGCCGACAGTCCTGGACTGGCTCCCCATCGGGAGCGTCGCCCCGCATCCCTTCCCTGTGGTTGCCCCTCCGGCAGCGGCCATCACCGCCTTCACGTACACCTAACAACGAAGCCGGGCGGGAGGGGGGGGGCGCGGGATGCAACTGCGAAGAAAGCAGTCCCACCATCTCTCTGATCACCGGCTCGCCGGCGGATCCCTCTGGCCTCTCCCCCAGACTTTGATCTTTTCCGGTTTCTCCTTGTGCAGCCTTAACCTGCGAGCCTTCGGCTAAACGCCTCGCCCTCCGCCCTCTTCTCTCTCCCCCCCCCCCTCTCCCCCCCCCCCCCCCCCCCCCCCTGCCACTCTTCATGGGTCACCTGTCAAGGCGCTCCAAAGTGCTCCAGCGATGTGCCAGGGAGGGAGGGAAAGAGGGGGCAATGCGGAGCCCTTACCTTGAGTGCCTTGTCAGGCCATCTCTCTGGGTGC